ATTATAACAATGAAGAAGGTTGTAAGGTCCCTAAGTCTTTTCTGACTGTGCTTAACTTACTAAACAGAAAATGGAAGACTGTTGCTCTGCATCAGATTATCTGTATTCCTACCAATAGGTACGCTCAGGATGAAAGATTAATATAGCTATTATTCGATAAACTTATATGCACGAAAATACAACAATTGACGACCGAATGGCGTAGTGGTTTGTGTAACGGACTGCTATTCCAAAGGTCGCGGGTTCGATTCCCGCTCAAGTCAAACATTTGTGTGCATGAACATTTAATGTTTGATTTGGTCTGGGTGTTTCTATGTATAATAAGTATGTATTTACAAAAAAAAAAGTATATATGTATTGATATCAGTTGTCTAGTACCCATAGTACAAGCTCTGCTTAGTTTGGGACTAGATGGCGTTGTGTGAATGTGGTACACTATTATTATTATTATTATTAATTATTACTGAGTTGCAGGTTTCCATAAAAAAATCAAGCAAACCTTTGTTTGAAAAATGAATACTTAGTTAGTCAGTGTCAGTCAGTGGCCCTGAACAACAATAATAATAATAATATATCTCACACATCTAGTTATACTCGTATATAGTTTTTGTTAAAAAAGAAAACGAATACTACTTTTAAAACCCATTCACATAAGAACCGCATTTTATAAATTTATTCAGAACTTGCTATTGCCTGCAATTTCTTATTCACGGGTTTCTAACTTTGCAAATGAGGAACTTTCTTACAACCGTGCATCCCTTTTTACCCCCTTAGGGGTGTAATCTAAATCCTTTCTTATTGGGTACGTATAACATAAAAAACGGCTGCTCAGCTGCCGAAATTTCAATGTTGTAGACCCAGCAGTTTAGAGTGTGCGTAAATGACTCAGTTAGGGCAAGTAATTTCATATGTGTAGATAATCCTCTTTGTAGAGACTGGCGACGTGGCGTTGCCCGCGGTTATAACAACAAACGCGGGTAACACCGCGAGTCTCAGCTAGTTCATTATAAAAATAATGATAATATCTCACACATTTCACACACGGCTGTCTGACCCTAATATAGGAAGAGACTGTGTTTTGGAATTAGACTGCTGAGAAACATACTTATATATTTTTAAATACATACATATTATAGACTAGCTGAGACCCGCGGTGTTACCCGCGTTTGTTGTTATAACCGCGGGCAACGCCACGGGGCGAAGCTAGTCTAAAAAAGTAGCCTAAGTTACTCCTTATGTCATCAGCTATCTGCCAGTGAAAGTCCCGTCGAAATCGGTCCAGCCGTTCCAGAGATTACCCGGAACAAACAGACAGACAAAAATTGTAAAAAATGATATTTTGGCTATGTACCGTGTAAACATACATATGCATTTAGTAAAAAGCGGTTATTTTAATATTGCAAACAGACACTCCAATTTTATTTATTTGTATAGATAGATGTATAGTAAAAATTACACCCGGACACAGAACAAATGACCGTGCTCATCACACAGTATTTGTTCTGATTGGGATCGATCCCACGACCTCCGGCTTAGCAGTCAGTGTCACTAACCACTAGACCAACAGGCCCGCCGTTATTGTACCCGTCATTATTGTCCCATAACAATTAGTATCTTTAAATACGTACAAAGTGACAACCTTGCCTCATAATTAAAAAGAAAATTGAAATGTAAACAATGTATTACCTGTATTACACGACTTCTTTAAAGATGGCATCTCCAGCTATTTGTTCTTAATAGCACACAATGGTGTAGAGTCGCGCACTGCTAATTACATAACACTGTTTTTAATGACAGATGTGTTCCTTTGTAAGTCATCTTGACATTTACTTGTAATTACATGTGAGTAGGTGACGATAAGCTCCGGTGCTTAAGACTGTTGTTAGGAGAATCAGCTGTAATTAATCGTTTTAAACTTATACAAGCTTATTTAAGCTTAAAATGCGCCTCAACTTGTATAAACTTAAGGCGCATTTTTAATAGTTACTAGCATTTTGCATTGGCATCGCACTAATATTAGAATATGTATATATATATATATATATATATATATATATATATATATATATATATATATATAGATGTGGCGACTCCCACATAAACATACTACAGCGCCATCTAATGAAGACACATCGAACTACGGAGTAACTACTAAAAAATAAGAATTGCTAATCCTGTATCGCGATATAAAGAATTCCCTCGCCGATTAGCATATATACAACTTCCCAATATCAACCGTTGGGCCGCGGCCCGCCAGGCATGATCAACTCGCCTGGTGGGAGGATCCTCCCTTTGTGTTGGAGGGACATGACACCCGTTCCTCCACAGTGGTGACCCCGACGTGATTGGAAGCAGCCTTCCAAAAGGAGCAGATCATCAGCAGCACCATCGTGTACATTCCGACAGCGATGAGCAGCAATCAAGTCTCAGCCAGCCAGCAACCTTGGCCTCTACAGGGACACCACACGCAGGTAGCGACCGCTCCAGCCTGGTTACCTCTACGGCCTCATCAGCGTCTAGGCACAGCACACTGCACCTACGGTCCACGTAAGAAGAGCATTTTCTCTCCCGTCTACGCAGCAGCCAGCCACTACGCAGCAACCGCCCCGACTCACTGGGGACTTCACCGCAGCACCGCGCAGCGCACGCTATCCCGACACACTGGGATCAGCGGACTTCAGCCCCGACTCACTGGAGCTAGCGGCACTCAGTTCCGACGCACTGGAACTAGCGGCACTCAGTTCCGACTCACTGGAACTACTCACTACTGGCACTGGCACGGGCACGCTCCACAACAGGGCATAGACAGCTGACTCATCATATATCGACCTCCGGTCTTGGAGGGGAGTGATGTGGCGACTCCCACATAAACATACTACAGCGCCATCTAATGAAGACACATCGAACTACGGAGTAACTACTAAAAAATAAGAATTGCTAATCCTGTATCGCGATATAAAGAATTCCCTCGCCGATTAGCATATATACAACTTCCCAATATCAACCGTTGGGCCGCGGCCCGCCAGGCATGATCAACTCGCCTGGTGGGAGGATCCTCCCTTTGTGTTGGAGGGACATGACACCCGTTCCTCCACATATATATATATATAGGTATATTTTTTTATGGAAGAGGGGTACATAGTGGTAGAAAACTTAATGTCAGAACAGAAAATCTTAATGAAAATGTTCCATTGTTAGTTAAAATAGGATATCCTGTGCTATAAGTACCAGCAACAAACATGTTGAAGTCAGTGTTCAAAAACGTCTTCAGGCTAAACAATATAGCGTCGAAAATCTTTGTCTCGAAATTACAATAAACTTTATATTGTAGTTGCTACTAAGTTTTGTAAGAAAATCATTTTTTTTTATCTTCGACAATCTTAGGGTACGTCTATTAAATACGAATTATATTTGTTATATGTTACTAACGTACGTCTGTAACGTATTCTTCGCACTCATAACCTTTCTGTCACATATTTACATATCTCTTAATCTGTGCTTTCTGTTCTTGTTCTAACAACATTCATCTATACTCATAGACAATTACAAATCGACGTACCCATTCCTTGTCGTAATTTAACCTACTTAAATACGCCCATAGATGTTATATCTATGCCTGTGTTCAGATATTATAACTCTGTTTAGAGAAACCTTCACGCGTTTACTACTTTAAGTCTTTTGTCTGCGATCAGCCCATTTAAAGCATTGAAACATTGTTTCTTTTTAACCGACTTCAAAAAAAGGAGGAGGTTCTCAATTCGACTGTATTTTTTTTAATCATTTCAATGACCTATTTAAAAACTGAGAAGGGTTCGTGGGTAAGTGGTAACCGAGTTGCAAAGTTAAGGAATACTAGACGGTCTGTTTATGGATCATTGACCATTCTTAATACATTGAGACACATGGCAGCGGTAGTCACTTGACATCATGAAAATGAACAAGGTTTGTGTTAACTTGCCTTTCCAAGTTCGTACGTCGATCCTCAATCAGATAGTTCATCATGGGCCCAATCGGTTTGAGTCTGACTTGAACTATGAATAATGTATTTTAGTTTAAAAGTCCGACTTCGTGACCTCATTGGGTTTTAAATGAGATTGCTTTCTGAACAAAAAACAAAACAAGATATACTTATATTAGTTACATGATCATTGGCTGTAAGTTACACCTTTGTAGGTGATTGTTGTATGCAAAGCTTAAAATAGACAAGTTCTAATGTTACATGCGATGCTATGAATACTTACCTATGCTGCTGTTATGATCATGATCAGTCTCTAAAAAAGTATCCATGACTTTATAAACTCTTTGGTTTCGACAGTAGAACAGTAAAGAGTATGAAAACACTAAGTGGACACCACGTATAATTTTGTGGCCCACTTTTTCTACAAATATGGTAAATGGAAACATTTCATATTTGAAATAATTGATGTTTACTTGAAGATTAAATGCAGAAGCCGAACTTGTAAAAAATATGTGCTACAAATTAAAAAAATATTCATGTAAAAACGGCTACATGAACTATAGGGTCTAGTATGTGTTTTAACGATATAGTACAAAAGTCTATACAAATGAAACAAAACAAGACATTCATAATCTACCGCCAGGCGACTAGTATATGCATAATACAATGCTTTACAATTTTTAAGCGACTTCAAAAAAGGAGAAGGTTTATGTGTGTCTGTATGTATTTTTCATGTAGATTATGTTCTACTTCATATTCTCCCCATACTCCTATACCATATGTCACAGTAGTATGTCAAATGTCATAGTACTTGACACGTCTCTTCCTAACACCTCACAGTAAATACTAAAGTTTTCACATATATTTTGTCTCTTATCTATTAAAAATAGATAAGAGACAAGCAAATTTATCCGCAAACGATGGATACGGTTAACTAAATTTGGACGGACGAATGTCGTCATTGAAATGAATGTTCTTCAAACACCATTAGAAATTCGCTTATAACCGCATCAAAACAAATCCATTTGTGCTCATACCAGTTATGCCTGCTGACAAACTAAAAATTAGAAATTCGGAGAGCATTCCAAGGTAATACTGAGTGAATGAATGATTATTTCACCATAAAACATACACATGTACACTGTTGCTAAATGTTTGTAGACCTGAAGACAACTTCTATTTGGTATTAGCATCGGTTGCTGAACTGTATTTCAGCTAACAGTGCCTAAACCTAGATCTCAGAGTACTCTTATTACGGAAATTATTACAATTTTATTAAATTCATATTTTAGGCATATGGAACCCTCTCTGTGTGTGTCTGCAAGGGAGAGAGTGTATGAGTAGCGTGCCACGATACTACATATTAGTAACTACAAGCTCTTCGGCTCAAAACTGTCACAAAATACTTTGTACTTCAGGGCAACAACAGGCAATACCTTAAAGCGTTACTACTGCAGTGTTGAAAACCGTCGAAGAAGTAAATGTCGAAAATGCTGTAAGAGATGTTTACGTGGTTTCTTTTGCATCCCAATGTGGGTCTGGTGCTGCAATTGGTGTGCATCGTGTTGTACAAAGTGTGAAATATGCTGCAACAATAAATGTGTTGATTAAATACCTATACAAGTACTTCAGGTAATGTGCGCTTGTTCTGAGACAACCACGTTGTTATTTGTATGAGATTATTTATTTTAGATCGAAACATCTTTAATATTAGTTCGTATTTAATAACAATCTTTAAATATATGGCGAATTTCAAGATGGAAATCACTAAGTAAATCTTTTGTCTTTCTTTACCTTTTTTTTTTGCCGTGCCCAACTCCCTTCGGATACCACCCATCAGTGGGGTGATTATGTCGGACTCGAACCGACTAAAAACCGTACGCCGTCTCTAGGTACCAGTAGCCGGGGAACTAGGTATACTCTAGAAAGGAAAGCACTGGTACTCCGACGTACCTCATGCCATCTACGGCTTATAGATGACCCCCTCCTGTGTGGGAATCCCGATGTTTCCTTCCTGGCCCCGAAGAAAGTGCGCGCTCCGTAGCGCGTCGCAACGCCACCCACTCCCGGCCTGCTTTTGCACCCAGGCCTGAGCTTATACGTGCCATAAGGAGGACGGAGGTCGTTCTGCGACCTCCGGCGCCTGAGACGTCTGCGTTACCTGGCCATTTGACCCAGGCTTGGTAGGCCGGGAGAGTTGTGGACATCTCCCGGTCCCGCTCCGCCATCTCCTTCACAAGCATGACCTGCTTGCAGAAGGAGACGGCGGATGTCTTCGTTCACCTGTCACAAAAAAGTGTTAAAGTGTCCGTAAACTAACTGTGCCATGATAAATAGTGTTTTACAATGGATATTTACCTTATTTATTACATAATACTATAAAGTTAAATAGTTTGTTTAAAATATTATTTCTGCTGTAGACTGTTTATGGACAATGATTATAGGCTTATAAAACATATAAGGTAAAACATATAAGAAGCAGAGCAGTACTATACAAGCAGAGTAAACTGCGGCTTCTGTTTAGTTTATGCATAGAATTGGAAACAAATAATACATCTAGGTATGACACTAGTGTCAATACTTTAATAAATAGTTAAGTAATAAGAGAGCAAATGGAGTCTTATATTCTATTTTTGTTTAGAATAAAATACACAATACATGTATTGTTAATGATTTAGGCGTAACGTGACATTATATATTTTGTGTAATATGTTTGTTTTGTTTATAACTTAGTACTTAGGTACGGTTTCAATACGAGAAGATACCCTCTAACTACATAATTGATTGCGTATGCAGTGTCATTATATACTTACTTTAATAAAATAGTGTTAACTACTAAACTGCTTATACTATTAAGGACAGAAATACACACAAAAGGCCTGTTTCTTTCAGATAAAAACAATCACCAACAGACTCCAATAGTCCACGCAGGCAAAACGGCTTGTGTCAAGTTTTCCTTCTCAGTGCAGTGATATTGTCCTACCTAGTTTGCTCCCTTAGTCGGCTGTTACGATAACTACAAATAACTTACAGAATCACAGGCAATTGCACATAATTATTTGTACTGAAGTATTAACACATATAAAATAACAGTTTCTTCAAAAAAAGGAGGAGGTTTACTATTCGATTGTAATTGTGGATCTCCTTTTCGGGGCGTCAGGCCGTATCTATACGCTTTTTTCTTGTGCGGGTTGACTGACTGACTTCCTAAGGAAATGTCTCGTTAATCTTATTTATTTTGTAATGAGGAATATATGTTTTTTCAAAAGAAAACTCCCACGCTAGGAATATAACATGTACCGGCTCACAGGGGACTTAACACGGACACAAAGAACATCCAGAATCAGAACAACAATTTGTAGATTACACGCTGTCCCATGTGGGGATCAAACCCACACTTAGCGCTGTAGAAAGTGGCAAGGCGACCACTACGCAAGCATTTGCTTTTGCCAACGGATAAATTTTAAAACTACCACTATTACACAATAATTTTTCCGAAAAAGTAATTAACAATAATTAAAAATACTAGCGGTCACATTTTAGTAGGCAAATTGGTAGATGTAAATTTTAATTGATGAGTGCACTAATTCTACAGCCGGATAGTAGGAGCTTGCATACCTAATTTGTAGATCTAATGTTCTGGGTAACATTTTCAAATTTTAGTCTGATCGTATGTACGACATAGAAGATTTCTGCTTGAGTAGGATAGGTCTGCGCTCGACAAGGTACCTAATACATTTATTTTATAGAAGAATTCATTAAATGTAGGTACTACTAGTGCAGCAAATATGTTTTTGAATAGGATCTAATACCTAGTATGTATAAAGTGCTCCATAAAGGTTGAGAGTGTTGACAACGGATAAGTGACGTCACTAGTCCTCGTCAGTGGTGTCAGTGTCAATAACTGAGGTAACTGATGGTAAGTATTTACCATTGTAAGATCAGTATAATTGTTTGCAAACTAGGTAGTAGAAATAACGTTTTCATAACATCAACTAACCAAAAGCAGAATAGTTTTTATTCCTAGGAATCACAAGAAATCCGTGCCTCGGAACGCATATTAAGCCGTCGGTCCCGGTTGCCATACGAACATCTGTGGCAATCGTTACGGGTAGTTGGAGGCCTAAAAAGTCCGTAAACAGTCTTTCTACAGAACTTCGATATCGCCTAGTACTTGGGTTGAGAAGGTCTGATGGCAGTCGCTCTGCGTACGAAATCGAAGTTCAGCCTTATCGTAGTAGACTTAAAAACCGACCCCAACCTAGTTTAAAAAAAAGGCTCGGAGAAAGGAAGGAATTATAAGAAACTAGAGAATCCACTTATTCTTTGTTATTATAATTTTCATAAAAATACCTTAAATTGCTAAATTTTAAACAGCGTTCCACAAATCAAATTAACTGCTTTTAAAATTATTTGCCATCACGTATATCACCCAGGTGCTACCAATGCTATAAAAAAAGACGACGACTGTTATACTGCCCTTTACTGAATTAAACACAAGCCCTACATCATCGAGTCGATTTCAAAACGTTAGTTTCACAACAGCGTACGCCGCCGCTTCGATCTGTCGATGCTAATCGTCCAATAAACGCCCATTTATAACATAATTGTACTTTAATATACCCACACGCGGCGAAACGCCTAAAAACATGACAAAACCACTTCATTATCGTCCATTGTCGCGATTTCACTCCACTTCAAATCACCATTGTGTACTTACGCACAACTTTTGCCGGCTGTGTTTATTTTTTCACGACACGTTAAAGCTCCGAATCGCATGTTCTATTTTTAAATTTACACATGCTATCACAAAATTCACAAAATTATTGACTACCGTTTTAAACTGTATGCGTTTCACATAGAGCCGAAAATAGAATGGTAATTTTTGACAGTTGTCAGTCTTGTCTCAAGGATACTGGCAGTCAGTAAGCAGTTTTGAAAGATAATAGGGAAGCGAATGTGCGAAACAATTTATCATTCAACCGAATTCTCTTGTTGATTCGATACAGTGAAGGCTGGATTTTTGGATCAATTCTTTTGCCTCGGGGAGTGTAATGTGAAAAAAAAACTTTATTATAGTCATTTAAGTGTATTAAGGTGATGAATTAATGAACATTATTTATGACTTTTGCAATATGTCGTTGTTGAAATTTGAAATTTAGCTGCTGTTGCCCTTAACTTTCTATTTTACACCAGTTTATTCCAAAAAAAGGTTAGTGGAAACCTGGGTCACACTTGATTAGCATTATTGTTAAACATTACAACTAATTTAAACATTAGGATACCAACATTATTTATAAGTACATATATAAAATGTCGGTAATGTAGGCTACCGGTAGAGTAGGTTTAGAAGTTCCTATGAAGGTGTAATTGAATTTTAAGAGCCATGTGTATGTATGTATGTAGCCAAAAAACTAAAATACATAATTAATTCTGTTTTTTGGAATTACGCTTTTCCTAGTGTAGTTGTACAATTTTAAAAACAACATAATATGAATTTCCATGTCATTTTATATTGCTTTTAACTTTTTTTGCGTTCATTATTAACCTAATCCAGCCATTCCAGCAATTCCTTGGTGTTAAACATTTATTGTTACATTCACGTAAGCCCTCTCCTAGTTTCGTAATAAGATTAGCCGTATCTGTCAAATGAGGTTTTTGTAATAATTTAATAAATTTAATTTAATTGCAATAATAAAGTTTCTCCTAATATTATTCCTCCTATAAAACGGGCTGCGGTTACAAAAAAAAAAGCAAAATATAAGGCATACCTACTTTTATTCATCAAGCGTAGTGATGAAACGAAAACCACCGACATAACGCAATTGAATGAACTAAGAATGAAATAATGAACCGATCATTGCTGTCATCTGTCATCTTACTGATAAATACTTAGCTTTGTTCAATTCTCTATAAGACAGTATACACCTAGTGAAACCTTTTTTTTTAATGTATTGTGTTATATCAAAGAGCATCACCAGTCGGCAGTGGGTGGGAAATCGTTCTGTTAAAAAAACTTACAACTGTCAACGCCTAAGGCGGCGCGTGCCGTTCAAATTAATTATAATGACGCTTTAACTATAATTACGGTGACGTTTTCATTATAGAAACTATTATTTCTAAATTAGATATCCACTACGTTGAACAAACGACTAAAAGTTTGTGTTGAAAAATTATCTTTAAAATATGTCGTTAAGAACTGCAGTTACAAAAAAAAACTGCTGCTATGGTGAAGAAAAATATAATACGAAAATAACCTTATTATAATAAAATATTTAATAATACGACCACTTAAAATATAAAATATGTTAGTGTCCTGCATTTAAAAAGAAATGAGAACTCTCATTACATTTTATAAACAAATACAGATTAATAACAGCCCATGATTGTGGACTGTAATTATTTTGAATTTCGAATTGTTGAATTTAAAATCAACAACTGTTATAATACACCCAGCATAAGGAGAACCCTATTGCATTTGTTGCGGTCTTTGAAAAGATGACTCAGTAGGAGGAGCGATGACGCCCGAGGATGTATTTAAATTGGTCACATTTTACAAAGCAACATCACACCCTGTGATCACGCACGTTGACCTCAAAAATTACAGTATT